TTGGGGACTAAAATGTCCCCAAAGTGTGGTAAAACCTGAAACTTCCTTACTTTTAGGGACACTTCTTCAGGTCCCCATTTGGAAAACCTCAATTTAATAAAACTTTTTTCATTGCATTCAAAGATTAAAAATTCTTAAAAATCCAAAAGTCTTATATTTTGGTTGGTTACTTATGGTTAAGGTTAGGGACGGGTAGGGGTTAAGGGTGTAGTGATTGGGATTAGGGTTTTTCCCATAGAAATGAATGGATGGCCCCCGTTTAGATAAGAAGACCAACTTGTGTGTATGTGTGTGTGTGTGTTTTCCTGTTCAAAAAACCCCCTCACCACTGTCTGTGGTGAGCTTTACTTCTGATTGGAAAGGCATTAGCTGCTGAAAAATAGTGGTCCCTATGTGGTCTTCACAAGCATCGCCTATTCCTTGTAGAATGGTATCTAGGTTAAGATAGGCAGTAAATATATATGTATATAAAGGTAAATATAGATGTAAATATAAATGCATATTAAATGCAGTAATCTTCTCCATCTCCCCTCCCCATAAATTATCAGTGTCACGATCTTTATTGCCTCACACCCAAGGCTGGAGATGCAGCATGTTACTGTTGGGGACACCATGACATTACACAGTTAAGAAGTACATACAGAGAATAAACACAAGACTTGGTAGAAGATGCACAACGGTGAGGAGCAAATGCAAGGTATGTGATAAATACAGAGGTTTGCGCAAATTTAAGTAGTGCAGTGTTGGCAGTTGACACAGGTACGATACAGACGACATACAGTTATCCCAGCATATTGTGCATATCATACATCACACAATATGCAATTATAACATGCGACCAGATTGTCACGAGTCTGTGCTGATGCAAATGTAAATATTGTTATTGAAGAATCTGATAGTAAATTACGTAAATTATTCCAAAAATTATTAGCACTGTAAGGTCTGTCCTGTCAGGAATGTGGTACTGTGGGTCCAGGAGGAACAGTATTTAGTTTCACTGTGTACTACTAGTAGCTAAGATGGCAATGAAGCTTTACTTGACTTGATTTGACTTGACAATGAACCTTTACCCTTGTTTACTCATGGAAAGTGATGGAAAAACTTTCCATGCCTCCTCCAGCTCATTTACCGATTCAATGGAAAGTGTCCTGGATTCTTCTACGGGAGATTTGCTGGATTACGGCTGCGGTTTCGTAAAGAGAAGGAAAAGCTGTCTTGAAGCACGCACTGGCCCTCTGCTCTCAGCGAAACATTTGTTCCCCCTGGGAAGCCGCCACAACAATCACTCATCTATCTGAGAAACAAAGCGATTTCTTGTGTAGGCAAACACATACTTCGGCTTTGTGATCGATTCTCAACAGGACAAGGTACAGAAAAACAACCAGTGATCGAATACATTTTTGGAACTCTATCTTCACCCGCTATTCGCAATCTCAGGGCTAAGTTATAAATAGGTGAAAAATGATCAAAATGCAAATCAAATAAATTAATAAACACAAACACCTGTCTGTATGTCAGTTTTTCATCATGGTGAGAATTGGTCTGTAATGACTTGTACAGAGAGATTATTCCGGAACTGTTAGTGATCAAATTAGTGGCCCATGGAACTAAATGTACTGATATGAACTAATGATGTTTTTCAGATTTCCACGTGTTTTTGCTCTGTGGGTGACTGACATCCCATCCGGGGTGTTACTCTGCCTTATACCCGAAACACCCTGATCAGGCTCATCTCTCCCTACAACCCTGTACTGCCTGGAAATTTTCCTCTCAGAATATCTATTTTGTTAAGTAATCAGCCAGATTTGTGTAAGTGATGGTGAAAATTCGACGGCTTGTTGTTCAGGTCCTGAACTGATGATGTGTTCTTTGTTTTCCCAGAATCTGGGATGTTTTTTTTTCCCCCCCTTTTCTTTCCTCCATAATCTTTAGCGTACTTCAGTAGTGAACCCGTCACACTTCGCCAAAACCCCATCCAGCATAAAAATACGACTACGGCGTTCATCGAAATTTGCATCATTTGTGTTTTTTGTACCTGTCCCCTAGATAGCGAGAGTCAGGTGTTCCCTTTAAGCACACGCAGGCACCCATCCGGGTTCTTGGTGCAGTTCCGTATGTTGGATTCCAGAACCACCTGCTGACTGACAGTGACAGGCCAGGTAGACCGCTGCAGTGCAGACCAAAAGAGGTGACGTTACAAGGGCATGACCTATAGGTGTCTTTGGACACCTGAGGACGGTGTGTTGAGAAGACAGTCGATCTCACAGCCATGCACACAGATTTTGCTTCCTTCGTTTCTGTTGCATCACCTGATTATAATGTTAATCTGTAGTTGTTGCAACTGGATGTGCATCCATGGACTCCTGGCCATGGGTGGGATGGGGGACCTGGAGCGTATCATAGGTAGCCCAGGCCAAAGGGCATGACTATGGAGCACACCATGGATGGGATGCTAGTTCATCGCAGGACACACACATGCACAAGCTCTCACACTATTCAGCTGGTGATTTTCTGCGTCCTGAGGATTCGAATACTCTCACCGCAGCTGGTAATCTGGCCGTGTGTCATTATATGTGGATAAACCCAGGGCTCTGTGTGTGTCGGCCTCCTATGCACGTTTCCCCTGGCTGGACGATGCCATGGAGCCAGTGTCGGAATGGCAGCTGAGGTCAGTATAGAATCCAGACGGCGGCCATGTTGGCCTTCCTCTATCAATGACCCACCTATCCCATGGTCCACTAGCGTTTCATCTGGTGGGTGAAACCAGGACATGTCATGACAGCACCCAGCCAAGCATCCATCCAGCTGGAGACATTGAAAATGGGGGGGATGTGTCTTTCTATCTTTCATTATGAATCCATACATTACTAAGGCCAGTTCGCCAAGCATGCAGAGCGTGATGACAAAACTTATATTTGACAAAACCAGATTATAGTCCTCTGTCAAACTCATTTTGTCGTATGGGTCAGTTATTTTTTATATTTAGTAGTAAAGCTGCACCTTAAACAGTGTCAGTCTTATTTTAAATTATGAAATCTTAAATATTCTAAAATAATTTTAAAATCTTTCTTGCATCACGATGTGAGTGTTGCATGTCCATTGTGATGTCACAATATACGTCACCCTGCCCCACCATGCTGAGAAAAATTTGACCCCCCCCCCCCAATGTCAAACTTCTTACGCCACTACATCCAACCACACTGAGCCAGCTCTGGCTGCACCTCCCCTGAATACTAAGGCCCATCAGTGTAATTAATTAGCATAGCTTAAAAGTACTGGATTTACAGCAGTGCCACGCAAAGACTTTTTGAGAGGCATTAAAGGGGCAGTCCGTACATTTAAAGGGAGGGTCTCTAAACAGACAAAAGGGATTGGTGCTCAGATTTGTGATTATTAGAATTTGTTCTTGTATATGTTTTGTGACTTTCTTGCGTCTCTTGCTCTGGTTTTGGTGCTTCTCTCATTGTTGCTCTTATCGAACTCGTGACCTTCTGCCTGGGTTCGGACAATGGATTCAGATCAATTTTGGATTCGGTTTTTTGGTTTGGATGTACCTGTGCCTGCCCTCTGACATGCATATTTTTGGACTGTGACTCTCAGGCATTGACTCTGGAAATAAACATGGTGTTACCGCAAGTGGAACTTCTCTTGTCTCGTCATTACAGAGAAAGCAAAAGTCAATGCGACATGTTCTGCATCAAGGGCAAGGCGGAATCCTCAGTAGCTGCCGCATTCCAGCCTTCATCCATGTTCTGATCTCTTTCCACAAACTCTTAACAGCGGTTGCAACCACAGCACCTTGTGATATTTTTAAATGTTCCCTAAATGCTGTTAGCGTTATGTCTTGTCTTTCGATTTGAATAGCTGTCTAATTAGTTTGTGGCTAGGTTTGAAAGGTGCATACCTCTGATTACCCTTATTCCCGGCCATTCATTGGAAGCTCTGCCTAGGTTCCTTTATGCTTAGTTGACACCTTGACAGCTATATGCTTGTACTGTAATATACAGCTCACTTGTACGTCACTGTGGACAAAAATGTCTGCTAAAGAAATAAAGAAATAATCTAAATGAATGTGAATGAGTTCTGGAATACTACGGGGCCACATAAAGCTCACGCCCCCTTCCCTCTCCCCCTCCCCCCTGGCCCCCATGGAGTATCCTTTAAGCAGACATATTTTTGGTGTCCTCGCACCACATTGATTTTAGGTTTCAGAACTGCATGACAGTTCACCAACGGTCCTGACATTACATCACACCAGCTGTCATGGCCAGTTTAAAGTGGAATCCCTCAGTAATTAGAGAAAATGCTTTTTTAATTTGCTCAACTCCTCCTAACCCCATGGCCTGACATGCAGCCTCAGGATCGACTGTTGCGTAATCCAGCATAACCCGTTCTCACAGAACGTGAATTCAGCCTAAGCCGTCTTTTAACTTTCTTGCATCAGCACAAAACAGCCCATGCTGTGTTTATGTTCTGCTGAAACCCCTTGGGATCTGTCATTACGGCTGATTTATGTCATCATTCTGCTCGATGCCTCATTTCGGCACGACCGAACGCGGGAATCGCCACCGGGCACGACACACAAAAGGGGGAAAAAAACAGTGAACTTTCATTCAAAACATACCTAAATAACTGCATAGCCAGAGGTCTCTCATTTTCCAGCTGTAACCCTAGTCTTGCGTGTCTGTGCACTTACTTTGAAATTTGCTTAAATAGTGTGTTTACTGCTTATGTTGATGCATTAGTACGGTGTTTCTCAAACCGGTCCTTGGGGACCCCTGGACAGTCCACGTTTTGTTGCCTCTCAGCTCCCGGTAGGAGTTGGGAGGGAGCAAAAATGTGGACTGTCTGGTAGGGAGCTGGGAGGGAGCAAAAATGTGGACTGTCTGGCAGGGAGCTGGGAGGGAGCAAAAATGTGGACTGTCTGGTAGGGAGCTGGGAGGGAGCAAAAATGTGGACATTGGGAAACACTGCATTAGTAGGCCCCAGGCCTGGACTGGCCATTTGGCATACTGGGCATTTTCCCACCCACCCAATCAGCAAAATTCGTCGTGGGGTGCTCCCCCGCCCACCCCAACAGCAAGATTTATTGTGGGTATGTATGTATGTATGGTGGACCTGTCTGTGGAAAATTCCTGAGCTGAACCTGATAGGTTCTGGATCTTTGGTCTGGTTCTGGTTTACATACCTGTGAAGGATAGCCATCCATCAGACGCCAGGTGTAATGGAACAGCAGAACTGTCCCCTTAATGTGACACAAACCTGAATTTGATGGACGACAATGCATCGACTAGCTGCACACTCAAGAGAAGGTACATCAGTGGCTTTTTCAACCCCTGTGGGGTCCCAGGTTAATTCCCCAGCCAAAAGCAGGTCCTTGTGGCACCTGTGAACATGGCTCTCTGCTTAGTGCTAATTCCCGGACAAGGACAGGCACAGCTGAGCAGAGCACTAAGCCAAGCTATGCATTTGCTGACACCTCGACTGAATACTTGGCGTCTTGTGCAGGGTGTACCCTGCCTTGTGCCCTCTGCTGTCTGGGATAGGCTCCAGGTCCTCCCTGCAACCCAGAAAAAGAACAGTTGGAAGATGGATGGGTTAAACTGCACAGTTCCTATAGATCGGCCTCAGCTGATATCTGTGCTGATCTGTTCAGCTATTACTGCGACACCACGGCAGACGTCCCACCGCAGCCGGAAAGCTCCGGAAGTCTGCCGCAAATTGACAGCAGCTTCCTGACACCCGGGAATGATGTGCGACGCCCCGTAATCCCGCTGCCTTAAATTTAGTCGGCAAGAAGTTTTATCACCACGACCCTAGCCGTTTAGCTCTGGTTAGCAAATCCCAACCCACCCCCAACCCCCGGCTGGCAAATGTACCGGTATTTTGATGGTGTTTTAAGAGCCCACACTAATCTGGTATTTCCCCAAATTTGCTGGCTTTGGGGGAGGGGCATGTATTTTCAAACAAAAATACCATCGCATAACCATAATATCACCAAACCCTAGCCAGCACCCTCCCCCCTTGCCCCTTATTTTCCTCCCTGACATCAATATGCCTATGGCAGGGGTGGCCAATCTTATACGCAAAGGGCTGTTGTGTGTGCAGGTTTTCGCTGCAACTCCGTAATTAGGTAACTAATTAGAGGACTGATTGGCTGAAGAGTCCTCACACCTGGGTTTGAACAGCTGAGCTAAAGGTTATCCCACAAACCTGCGCACGCGCCGGTCCTCTGACGAGGTAGAGAAACATTGGTCTAAGGTGGGGGAGGGGGGAGGGGGGAGGAGGACTTCTTTGGGTTCAAGAGCAACCTGTGAGCAATAGTCTTGCCATCATCAGCATCAGTGTAAGGGCTGTCAACCAGGCTTTTCTTCATTTATACATCCTGTTTTGAGGTACTAGATGCTCTCCGGGGCACTGCTTGTGTCATCACTCGTCACCCCTGCTCAGAGCATGCCATCCCAATCAGGAATTCACAATTTCACATGTGGCTATTAATCTTGAGCTTCCGCCTCATGCGATGCAGTAACATTCTCGGATCCACTATGTTTTATGAGAAAAATTCTGAGATCCGCGGCCAAATGACTCCAGTTTCCAGTAAATGTTATGGTCCCCTTGCAAAATAACTGCAGTTTAGTCTCACGAGGGGCAGGTTCACATGCAAACATGTGGTTGCGGTCTCTGTACTTTCACTGAGGGTCTTGTGAACTGTAAACCTCTTTTTGTTCGTGAGCTCTGAATAATCTTCACCTTTTTTTTTTTTTTTTCCGGGCCCAGATGCTAAACGGTACCACTGAACCTGCTCTGGAGCCAGTGTTACAAAAGACAGCTACAGAGCAGCAGGCATTGGGTCGCTTCATTGTTTTGATCTGGTTGTTGAGGTTTGAAATGTGAACGACGGCCTGGAGGAAGTGATGAAATAAAAAAATAAGAAAAAAAAGAATATCAAGGTTTTTCAGGTCGTCTGTCAGTCTGCGTCGCCTTATCTCTTCACGCTTTGCTACATGGGCTAGTTAATTTGCTCTCAGCTGAGCAAATTACTTGGCACTTGATTGATAACTGGAGTTGCTGTTTTTTTTTCCTTTCGCATTGGTAATTTTTTGAAATTTGTTCAAGGCCGCCTCTTGAAATCAGTTTTGAGAGATGTGTTACTGCAGGCCCATAGCAAATAGGGGGTAAACAAGCTCTTACACAGTACAAATGAGATTACCTTTCACCATACCCTCTAAACCTGCTCAGGAGGGGAACCAGAATTGGAAACTTCAAAAACACGATCGCCTTGTTTATCTCTGTACTCCATCTTTGCTGTTTGACTGCGGCTTTAATGCACGATGCGAAAAGCAGTTTACAAAGCCCCCGCAGCAGAAGGTAATTAGTCGTAGGCAACCTCTGAAGTTAGCGGCGCCCAGACAATGCTTTGAAAAGCTGTCTGAAAAACTCACCACTTGCTTCTTTTTCCCAAGCTGTTTCAAAATGTATCCACTCAAATAATAACACATCCTCAGTATTACATTTGTGTTTCCATTAATACATTCTAAGCTAGTTTAATGTACTATTGAAATGCCAGTGACCAGGTTTAGACCTGCTTTTTTCAAACTCTGGATGTGACGCACATGAAATACAATAAATTCCCATCTGCTTTCATGTGGGAAATTGATGAACATTCCCATCATTGATTTATTGTGTGTATATATATATATATATATAATGCATGATATTTTTTAGGTTGAACATATCCTTGAAATGGTTATTTCAGCAACTGGCAGGCCCCTTTTCACCAACACAAACGATGTCTTATGATAGAATAATCTTCCGGAACATTCAGGCATTCAGATACTCCTGTTGTCAATGGTGTGACCTAAATGTATTTTGAGGTGTTTGAGGTGTGCAGTGGCTACTTGGAGTGCTAATATGAGGTGTTGTAAAGGCTGAAAATGAAGTTTAAACCCTCTCTCTAGCGCAGAAGGCCCTACAACCACCGCACTCTGGCCTGAGATGGTGCATAAGTGAGGCTTTCAAAATGGCCCAGACAAATTGAAATTGCACCTGGTGACATAGCTGTCTCGGATATGTGACTCGGTATTATAATCCCGCAACTGCGTCAATTTGGGAACAGTTCCCAGCTAAAATATCACCATTCCTACCTACACAATGTGGAAGCTGCCTCCTTTGAACAGGGAGCATCGGCCCTCCAATTGATTCCAGCCACTAAATGCTAACTAACCAACTTGCCTACTTTGGCATGATTCTGGTACTTTATACCTAAGAGAAGCAAATTACAGTTGTTTTTCAGAAAAGCAGAAACATGAGTAAAATGTTATTTTATTTCACGATACTAACCTTAACAAAATAAGGAACAAAGTACCATGCATGCGATACGACAAAAATAAAACCACATTGTTCTACTCCTGAACCTGCTAAGTGAATATTTTATTATAGTGACATGTTCTCACATGCAACCCTCTCGGCAGTAATCACTGAGGCAAATACGTGGTCAACTAAAATACAGCTTGTACCTTAAGTATCTACATTTGCTGCAGCAACATTGAGGGAGATCCAGAGAACAGGGACACTTATATTGGTAACAACTACCGGCCACCGTCGATTTATATCGGTGAAATATAGTAGTTCATGTCCTAAAATTCGGTTTGAAAAGTTGCCCGATTACTGAAAAGGAGCAATCGTTCTTCGTTTTGTTTGTCAGTGTAGAATTCCATCGAGGGCGCGATAGGTGTCTCCTATTAAAAATTAACTTCCCCGCTATGCAACTGTAACTGGCGGCGTGAGGCATGATTTAGTCCTAACTCCACGGCTATTTGCACAACAATAATATACCCGATATGACGAAGTGAGGCAATTGCATGTGCACTGCCTTACATGGGCAATTTTTTGTACTGGCGCTCAGGGTGTCTCTGTCGGCTGGAATTTAGACCCGTGACGTCACTGCCTACAGCTCCCAGATTTGGGGAAAAAAAGTTGTTTCACTTTTTGTGGGATTTGAAACTCATTGATTCTTAGAAAGCGAGGTAAGAAAAACGGGGGCTATCGCAAAACGCCGGAGTATTATTACAAGAACCGGATGATTACGTGGGCCCGTTCCGACGTGCACTGCAGCCCGGTTAATACGACGGAACGTCAAATATCGCCTTTTGCCAAGGTGATTTAGTTTTACTACAGCCTGGTATAGAGACGGAGGGCGTGGGCAGCGTATGGGAAGGGGGTACCGTGGCTTTGGCATTACTCTCGGGCGATTATAGAGAAACTCTTTTAACTTTGCGATCGCATAACGTTTCTTTTATGCTCAGATTGCGACTGCCAGGGTCGGTCTTTGCACGATCTGCCTGTCCGGCGTTGCGTTGTAGCTGTAATTTTTCTTCATGGCACTTTGTGCGCTTCCCCCAGCGCGAGGCCATTCAGCTCGAGCCGGAAGTGAGCCGCCAGCCCTTCCACGCTGATAATGTGAAGATCTTTCTCAGTTTTTGGTGGCTATCGCCTTTTCTAAAAAATATCACGGGATATTTCTTATTTAGTTATAACGTCACGAACGTAGTAGTCTGTACCATCCGCATTTTTTTGTGTGTGGCTTGGTTAATTTTGCAGCAGCGTGTCTTTGATGACAACTCACCGATACTGTTGCTGCGCTAAATTAGCTTTATCCTTTTAACGTCAATGCTTAGAAAGCTGACCGTCGTTTAACCTTTTGCCTGTATTTGCTATTCGGTTTGTATTTGTTTTTAGACGTGGACCTAACAGGCTTCCGCGTGGAACTTTCTAAAGTAAAAAAAAAAACTATTTAAATTTCCCCATTACAGTCACTCATTCGTGTTTGGTTACACGAATGGTAGGTTTCATTTTAAGTGAAATGAGAATATCTTTCTCTGGTCAACATTTTATTCATGGTTATTTTGAAGCGCTGTCATTTCCTGAAGGCAAAGCAGCGAATTCAATTCAAAATGTATCTCAATTTTTCCTCAGTCAGAATATATTTCAAATATTAAACTATGCACCCTTTTCATTTTAAGTGACATGATTATTAGCTTTTAGGTGATACTACACATATCTGACTTTAAAATCAAACTTTATTTCCAACAGAACTGGATTGAGGTGCTATTTTGTAAAATTGCAGAACATCTGGAGCTCTCTGGTATGAAAGCTCTCTTTATGGGATGAAACTTGCCCCCGCCCCGGCCTGTGTGGATTATGGGCTTTGATCACTTTTTGTGAAAAATAGCTTTTGTAAAAAAAAAAAAAAAAAAAAAAAACAACAACAATCTTACTGTAGCAGTTTCTAGGTTTGCTCAATTCTAATGACACACCCATCGTGATACAGCTGAAGTATATATTTCGTAAATGGTCCTTATAACAGATACATGCACATCTAGCTTTTAAGAAATGTTTTTTTCTCTCTCCTTTAGAGCAACCTGCGTGTGACCTGTCCTCGGGACTGTAAGCAGAATCCACTTTGGAAGTAGAAGAGGTATGTAAGCTAGAGATAGAAATATAGAGATTTCAGATTCACACTGCTTGATCCTCAGGCTATATAGGTAGTATGGATGCTTTCCGGTGCGATTATTTGCTTGAGTACATGGTAAATGTAGTTGTGAAGGATTATTTTTCTAAAAATTTTAAGTTCTGCACCCTTGACAATAATTCTAGTCAGCAGCTGCCAGTTTTGTTAATCAAGCCAGTAATTACTGTACAACAAGATCTGTGTATAACCATGGGTTTATTTTAAGAAGGGGATGATCAGTAAATGTGTGGGGGCAGGAAGCAGCAGCAGTAATGGACTCATCTTGTGGAGGCTGTTGATGTTGGGGGAGAGGGACCCTGTTTTTGTATCACCTGGTAGATATTTGACGTCAAATATCCAGCTCTATAAATGGATAAATGAAGTGTCAGCTTTAGAAATGAATTTTGAATGTAGAGAGACTCGCTATTAGTGGGTGTCCTCTTTTCCTGTCTGTGTATCTGTGTGTCCTGATCTGAAGTCTTGCGCATTTCCTGGCCAGCGTTGAACTCTCCACAAATGCTTCATTTAAGAATTCAGTACGTGAATATTCGGGCTAATATTACGTGGAGAAATGTGTGTTATCTCTTTAAATAGTTCTCTGATGAGACATGAGATGCTTTCACGCCACTGGAGCTCTTTTCTGGAACCAGAACCTTTTTCTGGACCCTGGGATTTTCGTTGTGTTCACACCACAGGATCTCGGCCTGACCAGTTCCTCGATGGCAGTTCCAGAACTGTTTTTTAGTGCCTACTCTAGACTAGTTACTTTTTGTTCGACTATGAACTAGTGAGAAGGCGCTTACAGTGATAGCTTGATGATTGGTTAACCACAAGCACTGGCGCTTACATGGAAGTGCAGAAAAAGAGATGTGGTGGAGTAAAAATTGAGCAGATGGAATTATTTTTGTACCCCAATTACATTTAATGCATCAATGAATACATTTTTTGCTTGCATCTCCATATTTCTGCATTCGAAAATTCGATTGCTAACCAATATACTTTTGTCTAATATCCCCAGTGTCAGCACGTATTAGCAGGATAACATTACATCGTTCTTTATTCTGTGGAAAACGGAAGATCGATCTGCTGGACAGATTTAATAATAATCATGAACATGTCGTGGGTTGTATAAGTAAAATATAAATAAAAGGCTGTGTCGATCGCGATTGATCCATCCAATAATTAACAAATATCGAGCTAATGAGTTATCTTCCACTGTTTTGGCGTGATGGTGTAGTTTCGCATGAAATTATGTGTGAAGTTTAACTTTTTGCATCTCTCGTGCTTATGTAGCATAAAGGTCCCAGTTCCTGTTGTGTGGTGTGAAAACGACACATGAAAGTTGCGAGGAGCTACACGAGTCCCAGTTCCCCCAAGGGACTTGTAAACCGCGGCCCGGGTTCTGGAACTTCAGTGTAAAAGTGCCTGTAAATTGCAACATTTAAAGGGCTAATCTGTGATATGGCTTTGTGGTGTGTGCTTATTGTGCACAGTGGTGACAGAAGTCACGATTAACGGGTATGGTTTTGTCAGTATTGAAAATGCCTCCATATGCATGTCTGAGCATGGAGCTCAAATCTTGATAAAATGGCAGCCCTTGTTATACCTCTCTTCTCCCCCCCATCTGAAGCATTCCTTTCAATTCTATAGCTTGGTTTTTAAA